ACAAAAGATCTATCAACCCGTATTTTATGAGTCAAAGTTTCACGATAGATCTCAATGGTTGGAGATAATAGTTAGACAAATCGGTGGTTTAGATAATGTTATTTCAGAAATTATTGAACAGATTCATACTTTTGTTGTGACTGCACTGCGTGGAAAATTTAGAAGAGGGATAAAAAGAAGTAAAGGTATATTGTTGACTGGAAAACCTGGAACAGGCAAAACATCACTTGCTTTGTGTATCGCTGGTATGGTTGAACATTATGCCTAGATGATTCTTCCAATATTTTTGTCTTACAGAATTTTTTCCATTCACATAAGAAACATCAGGATTACCTTATGTAGTAATAAATTGCCCAGATATGTTCAAAACTGGTATATATATCAAGTTATTTCTAATGGAATATATGGTTTAATAAATTAATATTCTTCTTTTATTGTCATGGAATTTTATGAACCAGATGAGGGTGCTGCGGAGAAAGAAATTTGTTTAATATTTGAATCAATGTTACGCCATAGAGCTTCTATTGTAATATTGGATGAGATCGATACTATTGCCGATACTTCTGCTAGTGATCGTGCAGGTTTGAATTTCGTGTTTCAAATTTAAATTTTTATTCATTAATTTTTTTAGTTTATGAAATTGAAATTATAAAGGAATAGAAGCAAAGTTATTTTCAATAATTATAAAGTTAATTGATTCGATTAATGAAAGTGTCTGGGAAAATCCAGGCAAAGGTCAGATATTTATTATTGGTACGTACTATTATCATTATCATTGTTAATGTTTAAATCTAATGTTTGTAACATCTAAACAAAAATTTTTTTTTAATTAGGATCAACTAATCGTCATCATGCGATCAATAGCAGTCTTTATCGTCCTGGGAGGCTCGATCGTATCTATGAACTTGTTATTAAAAAGTCAAAGCAGAGATTGGGAATTTTAAAAATAATGTCAGAAAGTACGTGTGATGGTTTAATTCATTGACCTAAAAAATCTGATACATTATCTTTTCCATGGTATGATAGAACTTCCATTTGTTGAAGAACAAAAAGATTTAATATTGCAAAAAGTCAGTAGAATGACACATGGATTCGTTGCTACCGATCTACAATATCTTTGTACACAAGTTGCAATGCAGCTGGTTAAAGAATGTAATATAAATAATGATAATGATTCATATGAGGTATATAAAATTGAAAAGATTTGAATTATTATTAAGATTGGCTATTCAATGTCTTTATACCATCCTTTATAAGGATCTAGATAATCCGCATATACATGTTAGATTCCAACATTTTGAAGAAGCTCTTAAAGTTATCAAGCCTTCAAACTTAAACGAATTTCAGACAAAGGTATCTGATTAATTACAGTGCTTTTCAAATAGTATGATCATCAAATTTCATACATCACGCAGGAATTTAATGTAGGTCATTTGGCCTTTTCAAACTTTGATCGAAGATATCTCGACATCCACCTGGCCAAATTCAATGAACTTTTTTTGTTTTACTTGTAGACATTTGTAGAATTCGAATAAAAAAAGTTTATCAAATCTGATTAGGTGGGTATCGAGATATTTTCGATCAAAGCTTGAAAATGCACTTCTATTTGATAAACGTTCAAATTTTTACAAAAAATTTAATCGAAGATATCTCGACACACACACCTAGTCGAATTCGATGAACTATTTTTTGTTTTAATTGTGAAAATCAACAGAATCCGAATAAAAAAAAGTTCAGCGAATTTGGTCAGGTGGTGTTGAGATATCTTCGATCAAAGTTTGAAAACGCACTTCTATTTGATAAACGTTCAAATTTTTTACAAAAACTTTAAATTGAAGATATCTCGCCACTTACCCAACTCGTTGAACATTTTTGTTTATAAGGTGTGTATGGGTATTATGGCACAGGTAAGTATTTCAGCTAATAACGCGTGTCTATCGATCGGAATTGAATAATTTTCGATTCGTCTCATCAAGACGTACCAAAATCATCCAATTCCGATCACGAGATATTGTTAATCAAAAAATAAAGATAACAATGACTGATTGTGCTACAGGTACCAATTATGGCGCACACACTATATTTCGTGATCTATTGATAGAAATTGAACGATTTTGATACCGTTCGATTCGCCTCGATGATACGAATCGAATGGTACCAAAATTATGGATTCTTATCGTTACTATCATTATTTAACTAAGATAAGCTGCGTAAACCAAATTTTAAAATTAGCATAAAATAGTGAATAACTTTTGATAGACCAGTCTGTTTTTCGATTATTTTATTACAAAATGATCGCCTTGAAGAGACGATTCCGAAGAGGCCCAAATCGCCAAAATCCAATCACGGCGTCACGAGATCGATAAGATTTTTGTATTATTTTTGATGAAAATTAGTTTAGCTAAACTATCTATTTTCTTCAAATAATAAGAAAACCTTACCGATATCGTGATACCACGATTAGATTTTAGCTATTTGAGCTGTCATTTTGGTGGCA